CCCCCATGGCCCCATGTCAGTAAGTTATGTGACCGCCCCACCCCTTAATCCTTCTGTGTATAGACAGCTCCATCTGAAGTTTCAACTAGAGAGAGACAGTCCGAAAGGAAGCAGCCTGGGCTGTGCTCTCCGTGCGTGAAGTGGAACGGTCACTGTGCAATGAAAGTAATCAAAGTGAACTCAGCTTCACCTTATTTACTGAGTTTTCAGACATCCCAAGTCCCCCGGACGTTCCGGGAGTCTCCCGCTATTAGATAGCGGCTCCCGGACGCCCGCAAGAGAGACATTTTATCCCGGAAAGGATTGAAATCTTTCCGCGTCTGCTGCGCTCGCCGCTCAGTAGTATAAATAAAGTTTTTCGCTGTAAGGGAAAAAAAAGTTCATGCCTGCAGATCCTGTAACGGTGGCTGGTCAGTGGGAGGGGTTTAGGCACGGCAGGGTGGCTTGTGATTGGCTGGAGACAAAAGTCCCTGAGCTAGCTCTGCAGACACTTTGTGATGAGTGCTGAGGGGGAGCCGATAGAAGACGCCTGTGGAGGGTGAGTGGCACACTTCCTAGTCTTGTCATATACTGTAGTGTTAATAATCACAAATAAAATAAAAACATAATGTAATTAATAATAATAAAATGGTATAATATCTACTATGTTTGTGTGTGTGTATTCATTCCCCTGCTGTTTAGTTTTTTAATTTTTTTTTATTGTGAAGGTGGCCGACGGCCGCTGTCAAAATAAAAAAAACAGAGACGGTACCTCCCTGAAATGAAAAGGGCACCTCCCTGAAATAAGGTTTTGCAGGTTAGGATGTCTGAGTTTTAGTAAATCAGCCCCATTATTAGAGCTGAGCTCATTCAGACTGAACCCAGTCCAATCCGGAGCGCCTCCCAACAAAGAGGAGCCATGAGCACATCTGCCCAATCAACTGCGAGCTGGGCATTCCCCACCCCACAGCTGCATGTAAACAAAGGGGCGGGATTCTTGCGCTGATCATTTACCTTATATGGCCATATGAAAGTAATTTACCAATTTACCAATTATTGGCATGTAGCCATATAAGTTGAATGATATCACTGTTCCTTATGTCAAGCTGTCAGCGTGAAATTCCCCTCCCGCAGCTGATTGGGCGGCACAGAAGTAGCTTCCTTCCATCTTATACTGAGCTCAGATCCCTACCCATCTTGTTGTGAGCGCCGTTCACCGGCCGTGTGCTGTGTGAGCGCCAGAAGTAGATACGGTTTTCCAGCACGATGGCGTGGATGAGCGCTTCATGACGGAAATAACCACACAGGCGCCAGGGACAGAAGTATTCTGTTTATTGAGATCACAGGTTAAAGGATTGGTGGGTCGGAGAGGGAGAAGACCCACGTGGGCAACCATTTTGTTGGTGGGGTATACTGGCAGTAAGTGATATCTATAGTGGATTTGGTTACCATGGTTAAGATGAGGGAGACGGG